GAGCCTCTGGTGCTTGGGGCTTCAGCAGCTGAAGCCCTGAGCACTGGCGGTTCCTCTCCATGCCCCACTCCCAACCCTGCTGCAGGAGAAATACAGGATAATGTGCCTTTTTTAAAAAAGGACACTGGGAGGAGGTCTTAAATAAGGGACTGTCACCCTATTTATGAATAAAGGTCAGACAAATCAACACACACCAACAGATGCTGAAGGATCAAAAGGTAATATAGGTTCTAAAATGTAATACAGGCAGGAGAAGCCGTTCTAGTAGTCCAATAGAATTTCTCTCCTCAGTGTGTAATCTGAACGTGGGAATAGTTCAAAGTACTTTAGTCCCTGCTAAAAATTTGTGCTTATAACATGGACATGGATTTTTCTCCAAATGAATCTGGATTTAAACCTTACTTTTAACTTAACTTCCCTAAAGAATTCATGTTATGTTATGCAATTACTTTCTAAAGGTTCCAGCTTCTGGAGCAGAACTGACACACAACAGTTAAGTTTTAATATAAAAATACAATACATGTGCTTCAAGGTTAACTGCTTTTTATAACGTGAAAAAAAGATCTCATCATTCATGAGTGTCGTATCACATCTGAGATATGCAAAAAAAAAAAAAAAATCTATCAGTCTCATTCGGGGCTGTGTTAATTCCAACCTAGAAATCCAGGATTCAACCAAGAAATCCCATTTCAAGTTCTAGCTCAATAGCACAGTGAGAAGAACACTCAAAAGTATGGCTAATCAGGCAAAGGCTACAGTAAACTTCAAGGAAAAAGAAGCGGGAAAGTAAGAAGAGGGAACAACGGCACTGTTCAGCAAAAGACTTCTGGATATTTTAGAAAATAAGCAGAAAATATCAAAATCCTGACATTCCATAACACTTCAGTGAATAAAGTTATTAACACCATCTAAATGGGTTCCTTCTTATGTCATGAATTGCAAAGGTAGCATACCACATAACTGCTGACCTGAGATAGAACACAGAGTCAGAACCGCTATAAGAAGACTAGCTATTGTCATTTGAGAACAGCTGAAGACTTCCAAAGATCCTACAGCACAACTACGTGAAATCAACATTTTTTCTATATGGTTTTTCACAAAAAATAGTCATTATTCTGTTTTAAGCAGTTTCATTCCTGCAAAATAATGTCTATTGTTTCAAAATTAATATTTTTACACAAATGCGTCAAATTGTTGTAATCCGACCTTTACTCAAAAAATAAACCTAATTTTTCTTTGTTTTACCAATTTACATATTAAAAAATGGCCTTTTCCACCTTGAGAACAGATTGATTTAAATGAGATAGCCCTTTTCAAGGGCAGTTTTTATTTTGTAACAAAATATGAAAACCACTTAAAATTATACCCTCTGATTCAGAGCATGCTTGTTAGCTATTCGTTGCCCGTTCTGTCTCAGACATCAAGAATGTTACTGATAAAAGTAGGCTGTTTAAGCCATATTTCTGAGGAAACCGTGCAGACACTATCAGCATTTAATAGTTATGCTCAGGAACAAAAAATCATGTTACTTTTCAATGAAAAATGACAGAAGCACTGCTTTTCTGAGCATGTGCACACACACGCGCGCGCACGCACAATCCAACAATCAGCTTCCCTTTGAAGATTCCTTGTAACATCTTGTTTTTAAAATGATCATATAGATGGATGGGAATTGTGAATTCTCAAATGAGGGGAGGATAGTGATAAAAGGAAATTAAAGCCTTTTTAATAAATACATGGAGTGCTCTCTTGGAGGTATTGCTGATGAGTAAACCAGTTAAAAGGCAATGTTTATTAGCAAATGCATTTCAATACATTCTTTTCTAAACAACTACCCTTCTCCATCACTTTGAGATGACCTTGTGGGCCATGACAGGGAAAACATATAGCTTGTTCCTTTTTTAAAGTTTACTGTAAAATAAATATTTACAGCAAATTATCACAACCTCAAAGTCATGACGCGTGTCTCAGAGGCAAGGGACACAGCTGCAGCTGCTTGGAAAATATATATTACCTACAGGCTAACCCACTCATACAGCTACACAACATTATGTGCCTGAGCATCAAGGTCAATGGGGTCAGTCTTTAAGGACTGGACGACTTGTTATAAACAATCAATACAGGTAGAAGAAATAGTTGCAATAATTATCAAGTGCTATTTTAGTGCCTAGGACTGCATCTCCATTGATGTTAATGGCAAAACTCCCAATGACTTCAAAGGAGCAGGATCTGGCTCTATTTATATAAATACAAATCCTGTTCAACAGATTCCTCTGTAGTTCAGGAGAGTGTTTCTGACATCTTTTCTATTCAAGTCTCAGCCGCAGCAGCAACTCCTGTTTTACATTTCTTTGTTCCTCATACATGGAAGGATAGCTTACTAAGAACCTTGCCTATGACCAATTGTACACCACACTGCATGTAAAATGCACTCCCGCCACCACTACAGAGGATGTATTCAGTACAGATTGTCTTGCTACTTCTTCACTGCTCCGCTGGCTGTACTGTTTACTATTGGCATCTGCTTGAAAGAAAACCTCTTTTCTGCTCTTTCCAGATGGAGGCAGGATGTCATGAGGGCAGTGACATGGCCAAAAGAGATTCCTGACTCATTATACAATAACAAATAACTGCAGTCTGGAGTTTATGCTTGGCACTGAATACACTGGAAACTCAAAAGCAAATTCCAGCACACATTTACATCCATGTTATAGAATCAGAATTGGTTCTCTCAGAGAATTAAAAAAGGGTACCAGTGATATTAAAAAATTCCACTTTTCCCAAGGATGAATTATCTATTCCATAAACTTCAAATTAATAACACCAGGTTATGTTAATTAGCAGTTTCTCTATTAGCCATATTTAATTTAACAATCTCACTGACGAAGCCAGATATAAGATTCACTCAGCTACACACCCAGAGGAAATTGCTTTCACTTGGAAAGATGGCCAAGATGATGTTCATTAGATCTTAGCAAGAGTACATACTGTACTACAAGACTACACTAACACTGGGCTAGCAAGCTTAATCCCTGCATTAAGGTCTGGTTTAAAGAAAACTAAGACTATGCAGACCATGCAGCCTAATTTTAAAGAGAGTGAACTATGAAAGAGTACAGTGAAAAAAAAAGAAGGTATTTAGTGAAAAGTATCTGGCAAATACTGAGACAAATCCAGAACAACACTCGCATGTGCCTGACAAAAGTCAAACAACAATACAACAGCGAGTTAAAGACAGAGTACACCACTGCAAAATCCATCCCAGAGGCTCTCTGGTAAGGCTGTAGAGCAGACTTCACTCTTCCTTGTCAGTGGCCTCAGTGCCTGTTTCAGTACTATGTTAAAGTACACACAAGCAGGGTCTGGCATGATCAATTAATGTGCACCATATGCCTCTGCATGCTGCAGAAGTGTGGGGGTGGAATTGATGAGTGAGGCCACCAGGGGGCAAGAGGAGCTGAAGGAATTGTGGGAGTATGGCTGCTGGTGTACCTACTGATTTTTTTTCTGTGGTTGCTCCAGACACCTTGTTGGGGATTCCTAAAGTGGATCAGGAATTCCCTTATCTCCACACCCTGTGCAACAAAATAGCCAGCTCCGTGCAATAGACACAATGCAAACACAACTCCCTAAACCTCGCAAGTCAATGTAGCTCCCCAAAATCAACTTGAACAGGCTGAGCCTCTTAAATCCAGAACTCTGTTCTGGCAACATCCGTGGTCTGGCAGGACCACAGATGTTTCACGATCAGAGAGCTCCAGCACCTGGGAGTATGAGCCAGCCAGAAAACCAGAGAGCCCCGGCCAAATGGGGCAGCAGTGGGACCGGAAAGCCCTGTCCCCGCAGACCTAGTCCCAGAGCATCAGCAGCAGGGCAGCCGCAGAGCCCTGTCCTAGGGGCAGCCCAGGAACAATGCCATGCCTGGCAGTTTGGGAAGGAAATGCCTTTCCCACCTCTTATATCTACTAAGGATGTTAAGGACTAGTTGACTATCCTATAAGCAAATGCTTATCAGATAGTCAAATCGACTAGTCGATTCCATCCCCCCAAAGAGTACTTCAAAGGGGCAGTACCGCACAGCTGATCCCAGGCTCTGTGCGGCGCTGCCCCTTTGAAATGCCACAGTGGCATTTCAAAGCAGCAGCGCTGTGTGAAGCCCAGGGGCATCTGGGGACTCCGTAGCTGACCCCAGGCTCCCTGCGGCATTTCCATGGAACCCTGAGCCAGCTGGGAAGTCCTCATCTGATTCTGGGCTCTGTGCGGGGCTGCTGCTTTGAAATGTGGAGTGGATCCTGGGATCAGCTGGCGACCCCCCAGCTGACCCCGGATTCTGCAGAAATGCTGCGCAGAGCCCAAGGACAGCTGGGGAATCCCCAGCTGACTCCAGGCTCCAAATGGTATTTCAAAGTGGCAGCGCACATTGAAGCCCGGGGTCAGCAGGAGACTCTGAGGGCACTTCTGCTTTGAAATCCACAAGAGACCCCGCTGGAGATTTTTGTAAATTTCAAAGCAGGCACCCAGGTGCAGCCCAAGGCCAGCAGGAAGTCCCGCTGACTCTGGGCTCCACACGAGTGCTTTCGCTTTGAAATGCACAAGAGCACCACTATAGAAAGGATGTAGATGCATTGGAGAGGGTTTAGTGCAGGGCAACCAAAACTATTAGGGGGTTGGAGTGCATGACCTATGAGGAGAGGCTGAAGGATTTGGGTTTATTTAGTCTGCAGAAGCGAAGAGTGAGGGGGCATTTGATAGCAGCCTTCAACTTCCTGAAGGGAGGTTCCAAAGAGGATGGAGAGAGGCTGTTCACAGTAGTGACAGATGGCAGAACAAGGAGCAATGGTCTCAAGTTACAGTGGGGGAGGTCTAGGTTGGATATTAGGAAAAACTATTTCGCTAGGAGGGTAGTGAAGCACTGGAATGGGTTACCTAGGGAGGTGGTGGAATCTCCATCCCTAGAGGTGTTTAAGTCTCGGCTTGACAAAGCCCTAGTTAGGTTGATTTAGTTGGGATTGGTCCTGCCTAGAGCAGGGGGCTGGACTTGATGACCTCTTGAGGTCTCTTCCAGCTCTGTGATTCTATACAGTTCACTGTTGTTTGGCAGGGAATTGCACCTTGGCTGTGGAGGACCCCAGATTGTGGAACATGCTCTCCCTTGATATCTGCTTTTCCCCATGTCTTCCCACACCTAATTTGAGTGGTGTATGTACAGTATCTGGGACTCTGCTTTCTCTGTACTGAACTTTCAAAATGAAGTATTCTGTCTGCCTGGCTTCCAGGTGGAGGATATGCTGAATAATGCACACACTACTGTCCCCTTCATGGAAACTGTATGCTTGTTCTTTTGTCATTTTCCTACATAGATCCCACAGCATTTTACAAAGGAGATCATTAGCCTCATTTTCACACATTCTTAGACTCTAAAGCTAGTCTGACATCTTGTATAACACAGGTCACAGAACTTCCCCACAATAATTCCTAGGGCAGCTCTTTTAGAAACACAGCCAGGCTGGAAAATTGTCAATGATAGAGACTCCACCACTGATCTTGGTAAATTGTTCCAATGGTTAAGTACTCATACAAATGTTTACGCCTTATTTCCAATCTGACTTTGTCTACTTTCATCCAGGGGCGGACTGGCAATCAAAATAGGCCCTGGAAATGGGTTGAGAACAGCCCACTTTTTCACATCAAATTTTTTTTTAATTTTACTCTTTGACCCCCATTAGCCACACCCCCATTAGCCAGGCCTCTGGAGGTAACACTTTCGGGGCAAGATGAACACATGACCAGAAGTAAAAGGTGTCATGTGACCTCTCTAAGGATTTTTCCCACTATCCTCATACCAATAGGGACTAGTTTGGCCCTCACCAAACCCACCTCCTGCAATTATCCTGCAATTGCATTAACCCAATGTGTGTGACGTTAACTCGGGGGCGGAGAGCTGGGGGAAGTGTTCCCTCCAAGAGTTTCCTCCCATGAGCAGAATGAATTTTGTGTTGTGCACCAGTACTGAGTTCATGTGGCTTGTTTGGATGTGCCACTGTGGCATCCAAGTTATTAATAAATATCTTATAAACCTCTATCCTTTCCCTCTGCTGCCATGTCTCCTCCCCTTGCTCCATCTGCTTCCCTGGTGCCTGCTTCCCCCCACCCCCCCAACTCCTCACCCTCCTCTGCTGTCCTGACTTGGACTCCTGCCCTTCTCACTGCCCTCAGTCCTCCTGAGACCTGCCCCCCTCTACTAGCCCTTCACTCCCCCCCGTGTGGGCACACTATTCCAGCAGCGGTTGCACCAGTACCAATTACAGAGGTAAAATAACCTCTCTATTCCTGCTCAATATTCTCCTGCTTATGCATCCCAGGATCACATAGCTCTTTTGGGCATGCTGTTGCATTGGCAGTTCATGTTTGGCTGATTATTCTGGGAAGCAGTGACTCTGAAAGAGACTGAGCAGTCATGATAGATAGAGTCCCCCATCCTTTAAGTGTGCCTCACAGTCTTACATTTCCCAGGTGTATATTTTTATATTTGAAGTGCATATTGCTTGCTTGAACCCAGTTTACCAAGCAATGCAGATTACCCTGTATCAGAGACTTTATCACTCTCCCAACTTCTGCATCTGCAAACTTTAACAGTGATGGTTTTCTTCTTCCAAGACACCAATAAAAATGTAAATAGCAAAGGGCCAAGAACCTATCCCTGTGGGACCCTATTGAAACACACCCATTTGATGAGGATTTCCCATTTACAATTACATTCTGTGACCTATCAGTTAGCCAGTTTTTAGTATACTTAATGGGTCATGTTCATGTATACTGTTCTAGTTTGTTAATCAAAATATTGTCCCAAGTCAAATGGCTTACAACAGTCCAAGCAATGATTCTAAAGA